CTAAGTTACATTTTATACTTACTTTAATCTGAGTACTGTATTAAAGGTTAATGTAGAATGGAATGAATATTTTGAGTAGCTTTATTACTGGCTAAGATTATATATTTTTTTGTCAGATTCATTTACTATACTAAAAGACAGAGAGGTCTAGTCTTGAACCATAAAATTTATTGACACTTTTCAGGATTGAACCGTTGAGCACTATGGCCACTCTGCAATTCAGCTATCATTTAACTACACTATAAGTAAAATGGGATCGCTTTAAGAACAGTGAAAGCCAGTTGAGCGGAGTGATAACATTTTCTTAATATTTTAACGAAGTAAGAATTAAAACATTTTTTCTCATTTAAGGCTTGTATATCTTTTCTATTTTCACGTTTTTATGGGAAAATATACGTGTTTTTCTAAGATAGTGACATTCATCTAGGGGTTCTAGGCCTGAATTCTCTATTCTCAAACATTTAACACAACCCATCTGCTGTAGTTCAAGATGGAAATTATCAGAAATGTCTAGTAATAGACGATACAATAAAGGATAATAAGGGGGCAGAGATTTGCTCTGAGAACACGTTTATGTGCTCTATGAGTATTTTTTTGCTCAATAATATTCATCCAAATTACTTTGAATGTTTATCTCAAATATGTAGATTTTTTTGTAAGCAGCTGTCGATTGCATTTTTGTCGTGGTTATTTGTAACTAACATGGCAACTCAAATGGCTAATGTAAAAATTTACATTCATGTTAAACATACATGTTTATGTTGAACATACATGTTTATGTTGAACATACATGTTTATGTTGAACATACATGTTTATGTTGAACATACATGTTTATGTTGAAATAAAATTTGTTTTTGCAGAAGGAGTTGTTTCCACATTTACTAATGATGAATGCTTACGGGTGTGAAAATTTTTTACCAACAAAGTTAATGGTATGTTTACTTCTCAAATATACTGTAGGATTTAGATTTATGTCATCCTTTTGAATCAGCTAAATTGCATAGCTTATTGTAATATGTTTAAAACGTTGATAACAAATCTTAGAACATAACATAGGATTAGACAGAGCAAGCGACATCAGCGCACTCGAACGTCGCCAACACGAAACACTCGTCAAACCTTCCAATAGGATGAGATGCTTACTTGCTCGGCTTAAAGTCAATAGTAAACCATCGTGTGTCTAATAGCCTATTTATACGAACGTGGATTCAGAGAATACTAATTGTTTGACAACAGCTTATTTGTATTCTACTCTTAACCCCCATTTACATAAGATCTATATAATTGTTCGCTGAATAAGTAATTTGGTAAAGTGTGTCAACATTAATGCAGTAAACTGTTTCCACTAGAAATACACATCAAAAGAGGGTTCAAGAATATAAGGAGTCACTTTTGCACCATTTAAAGGTAATAGTAAAACAAACGTTTTCTTTTAGTCCATTAAAATAAATACTTATCAGACTATTGCTTACTAGTTAAACAGCTGATTCAAATTGTTCATTTCAACAGTTATTGTTACATTATTAAACACAGTTTAGTCAACAACAGCGCACTCATTTCTAACATGTATCATACTTCAAACCAGTAACTATAGTATTTTCAGTCAATGGTAGTAAAACTTGCTTATAATAGCCTATTCATAGCTTTGTACAAGTTACTTGTAAAACAGAAGATTTAAATTATTTGTTTTGGTTCTAATCTAGAATTAATAAAGAAAATCTGTACAATACTGTACATATTTGATCAGCAATGGTTTTGAAATTCCCTGTAAGACCCTCTGTGTATTATTTGTTAAATAGTCACCAGAATAAATTTCTCCTTTGTACTGTATTTCTTATATTTGCTTGTTTATAAATACATGCTATGATGCATTTGTTTACATACACGGTGTTATTTCGTAGCCGTCGTGACAAAACATAAGGTAAATATTAAAATAAGATACAAAATATCAATTAGTTTTTAATTATTGTATAGCCATTATGATATTGAAATTCGTTTCACCGATTGTCGAACTAGCTTTGTAAATTTGAAATTTGAAATATTGTCAGCCGTTTTTATGTGATGACGTAAGAAAGTTTGCATTGAAGTCGATTCTAAAGAACTTCACTTTACTTAGATAATTTATTTTATAGTACCCATGTAGTGGCTTTAAAATATAATCTTAAAAAAATTCCTGAAGGGAATTGTATGGGCCTTATACCTGGTTTTTTGGTGATTTTTACCCAACTTCTTTTACAATTTTCCAATGGCCTGACTTTATCGATGGTAACTAATTTTTAAATATACATCCGGTTGTACAGTAAACACAATTGGCAAAAATATTCATGCATTTTAAATCCTTATTCACCTTCTCACTCACGGATATCATAAGAACTGCATATGAACCTAGTTAAAAGTTGAACTTGAGTTCTCAGTCTGCAATAAGACGTGATTTAGAGCGATTTTAAACCGTACGTTAACTCTTATGTACACAAATCACATGCACTATAAAAATGTATTTCAGGGCATTTTCGTTTGATTTTCTGGTAGTTTCACAAGTTTAATAACTGGTGGTTGGATTACAGGGCTTCTATCCTTGAGATCCGGGTTCAAATTGCGCCAATCACCATCGACTTTTGCTATTTTTTATAATGAACGTAATCAAAGCGTTTGAGCCCGAAGTGTTCAAATAAAAACGATTCACCAGTGCAATATTTATGAGGAATAGAATAAATTATGTGTTTTGAGTAACCTACTGCTGATAAATAGTTATCTACTAATAATTGGATATGAAATATACTTTCAGTGGAGTTTTGTTTCCAATAAAAGCTGTCTTTTTACACCTTCCACCCTTTGGCTTTGGCTAGATCGTTTACTTTATTGGATTATTCTAGACTAAGGAAACTCCAAGCTTTGGCGGGTGTTAAACAATAAGATATCATAGCTTGTAGCTATCAAGAATTAATATTTCAGTGAATATTTTTATAAAACTGCTACAGTAACTCCAAGGTGTATTGTACCTAAATATTGTTATATTAAATTAATATACACTTATATCATAGTAGAAAGTATCGGTTTAATTTATCCGTTCAGAATCATTCATAAGTATTTATAAATTAATGTTAACAAGAAGAATGCGATGTTCTATCTACGTCAATAAAAAGATAAAATATACAAAGTAGCAGTATTCAACTGAAAGTTTTAGTGGTATCAAGTGTTATTCTCGTCTAAACTGTAATTTGTCAATTTGCATGGATTAAACATTCCCTTAAAATCCTAGAGAATATGTAAAAAAAAATTAATTGTCTAGATACGTGGTAACATTGTATACGTACTGCCACAGTGTGTTATAAATTATCTTTCTGATCAGATCAACAAGGGAAACTTAGAACCAAGATTTTAAAGGTAATAGCTTAATCATACTTAGCTAAACTGCATGAGAATGCATCTCATTTTACGAGTCCAATATATTAATATTTAAACGCTTTTATATATTTTGTGACACTTTTTCTTGAGTCAACAAAAGTTGACCGATCAGTTTAAGTGGAGATGGCAATGAAATTTAGTCAAAATCATATCGATTAGTCTAAAAATGCGATACAAATTCCTACAATTTAAATTTGAATTAATTGCAATTCGTAAAAAATTCGTTCAGGGAAGGGAATGCGGAAAATATGCGATTGGAAAAATGGTTGCTTGATTTTATTCCAACACAAATTGGCAATAAAAATAAGATCTCTTTTAACTCAGCCGTGCAACCTGTAATCGGCAATTTCGGAAGCCTCTGCAATCGCGCTATCATCAGTATTTCTTCCAAAGAATCTTTTACGACTTTCTTTTGTTGCAAAGAGGAGTTAAGTTCAAATAGTAATCGATCCATTAGGTATATGTTAAAAACGAAAAATGTTGAATGTTTAATTTTGCCATTCATAATAACTGTCCCAAAACAAACTAATGAAATTAAAATACTTCACAATCTATCTAATTTATCTAATCGTTGTTGTTATTGCCTGATGTAAAGTTACCGTCATTACTGCTTGTTACTTGTTACCATTATTACTAGGCATAGTCTTCTTGTTGTTATTTATTGTAGTTTTCAGGTCCCACTCATGTATTTATTGCCAGCTTCCTTATTTATTATTATTGCACGATTTGTGTAACCACTGATATTAACTTATTATTTGCTACTTATGTATTATGTATTCAGGTATAGTTCAACTATAGTTCATAGTTTGACAAAATTGTATTAATGGAGAAACCGTTGGAATAAATAAATAAATAAATAAATAAATAAACAATATTACGAAATACCCTCAACATGTACTAAACTAGTGCTAAAGCCCCACCTTAAACCCCACTAATGGCTTTTACCCATGTTTTAATGCAATTATTCGATCATTTTGAGTTGTAATTAAGTTGCTCTATGAATCAGCCAATGAATCTACTTATGAACTAATGTATGACCTAATGAACCCATACCATTTAAATGTTTAGCATAATATATTTTTTATTTGGTTTAAAAACTTACCTTTGTTATCAATTGTTGTGTAAAGTGCTTCTATATCGGTGGTTACAGACTTCACAGTTAAATGAATCTTTTGGTCATTACAAATATATATAAAAAAACTACTACATAACTTATATTCAAACTAGTCGGCTTTTGGAGAATCATAAAGTTAACCTTGAAGCGTTATTACTATTCTTAATTGAGATAAGGTGCTAGTGAGAGTACTTTAAGCAATAAATGAGATAAAGACGAGCTCAGAATGAAGTGAGTGAGATAAGTTGTATAGCAGCTGTCTTTTCTTAACTAAGAACTCTTCTTTGGATAGAACCATTTATCAAAAGCCTAAAGATCAAGGACAACTAGGTCCACTTTCCAACAATCAAAAAGACATTGAATTTTTTCAGGATTTAACTGGTGACAATTTTTCAACGAATTTACTATACAGTAATCGCAACGAGAAATATGTTTATATACTACTCATACATACATAACAAATGAAAATGATGAACTTACCTTGAGGAACCTGGGAAACCTGAGGATGGGGTTGACACCAATATTAAACTGGATGAGGTCTAGAGGCAGAAGAGCAATTAGGTCCAACAGGAAGGCTCTGGACTTGATGTAGTGACCGGCAAGTTTCTTGGAGTCGTACACCATGAGTCCCTGCTCCAGGTACCCGGTCCGAAACTGCACAACCACGTCTAGCACGAACACCACGTCCGTGAACATGTCACAAGCGAACCAGAACCTCGTGGCGGAGTCTTGCAGTTCGGGGAAGCTCTGACGAACTATCAGAGTCCATAGGTTATACAGCACACAGATGGCCACCAACATGAGCCAGTAGAAGTAGAAATTCTCGTCCGGATTGACCACGGTGCGCGGATGTCTCTTGGCCCTTCGCCTCCGCTTGCGCCGTTGACGCTGATCTTCCGTGATTCCACTTTGGGAACCAGAGGCTTCGCCGTCGTCCCCCGTGTCCATCGTCTCCTGGAACACGATAGGAATTAGAGAATTGTGAAAGTATACACTCTAGTACGTATATATAGGAAGTAGATATAGAGGGATGGTTATAGATTTGAGGTAGAGATTATGCGTTAGGAAGCAGATGTAGGAAGTAGAAGTGAAACATCAAAAGGCATGTACCCTTTTGAAATACAGTATTATGGATGTAACATACTCTATTGGCTGATTATCCTTTTGGATCAGCTCAAGACGATTTGAAAGTTAGTATGTTTGTGTCTAGTTACGATTTATTACTTTGAAATAATATTTTTATTTATAGGTAATGGTACTGGCGTTACACAATTACAACCAGACATAAAGATATAATTATAATGAGAATCATCACCAAAGGGTAAACTACAAAACGTAGAATCTCCCCAAAATTTAAATAAAACATTCTTGACAGTATGTCTCTCGGACATCATAACACGAAACATCTACACAATAACCCCGCCGCAGCCAACCTGTAGACTAAGGTGATTTCCATTTGTCTCAGATTTAAACCAAAATGTTTCCTTAATCATGTCAGTTTCATTCCGTTTTTAAATGACGTTAGCTATAACAAGTACTTGGTTTGCTACTACAAGGAAGGTAATGATGTGTGTTTTAGTGAATTGGAGCTTTGTATTAAATAAACAACATTTGCCATACAGTATTTAGTAAAAATATATAACCAAACAAGCAAAATATAACATTAAATTTATCCTCGATTACAATAAAATAGGAATACAAATTAACATGATTTCAAATTTTCTCCGTTACCATTAAGCGTACATCAACCCTTGAGAGTAATAAATTATTGTGTTTTAACATATACAAAATGTTTTAGAAATTAATTGCAAAGTTTTAATTCTAGGTTCAAAAATGGTATAATCAATTTTTACCCCTAAAAACCCCATTTCCATAGTCCAATCATGCTGGGTTACAAACTAGGTTAAAACAAAGTGGGTTTATAACGTTTGTACCAAGTTTCATTAAGTTCGGATCATTTTACTCATGTTATCGTGCTATTACTTTTCTTTTTCTAATAATGACAATTATAGTAAACAAAATACAGGGTTATTCAAAATGAATGACCCAGTTTTAACGCTTTATAACTTTTAAACTATTAAACTTACCGCTATAAAATACACATCAAACGAAAAAGCAACTCAAAGAGTTTACTCCTTCCAAAGACACATCATTTAACAAAATCGATCCAATGGATCTGTAGATTTAATTGTACAAAGTTAAAAAGTAATCTCCAACTTTTTTTACCACTAGAAATTTGGAGGTTACTTGACTTTTTTGCAAATAACTTTTAAATGGTGAGGAAATTGACCAAAGTGGAAGGTAATATTCCGAAAGAGAATACAATTCCCTACAATCTACTATTATGCATTTTTTGAAAATACTCAAGAAAGGTACCAAAAATTGCCTCAAAAAGAAAAAGAAAATTGAAAATCCCTGTCTTCAATGAGACAATAAACATAGCAAACATTAAATTTCACACTTTTTTATTTTAAGCCAAATTTAGGCTACATTTATTGAGTATTTTCAAGATATGCGTATAGTAGATTGTAGGAAATTTTATTCTCTTTCGGAATATTACCTTCCACTTTGGTCGATTTCCTCACCATTTAAAAGTTATTTGCAAAAACGTCAAGTAACCTCCAAATTTCTAGTGGTAAAAAAAGTTGGAGATTACTTTTTAACTTTGTACAATTAAATCTACAGTTCTGCTGGATCGATTTTGTTAAATGATGTGTCTTTGGAAGGCATAAACTCTTTGAATTGCTTTTTCGTTTGATGTGTATTTTATAGCGGTAAGTTTAATCGTATAAAAATTATAAAGCATTAAAAATGGGTCCATCATTTAGAATAACCCTGTATATTACCTACTGTAAGCTAATGCTGATCTGTTGAGCTTTAGAGCTATTTAGGCAGCACTCACTCATCCAATCCAGTCTAACATCAATAATGTCAATAAGTCTTATATCGTTACTAGAGGCTTAATTTGGTTCTTGCGTTGGTGTGAGTTAGTGAACCCATTACGTATGTCATGTCGTCTATTAGGACTACCCACGCTCGGACAGGCCTCTGCATCACTAATTGCTTATTTGGAAAACGTCCGTTGGAAAAAGGGAAAACTATGCTTACTATGTTGACCACCTTTGATAACCGGCTTGTTTCAACTATGATTTTCATAAAGTCTGATTTGGATAATTTTGAGTCCTCAATAAAAACCGGCTCTAGAATTTACCATGAAAGAAGAATTCATCTTACTGTATTTAGAGGAAATAGGACTTAACATCGTTACATTTAAAGCTGAAGACGGTTAAATTGTGTTTTCTGTTTTACAAAATACTGTATTTAGATTTGTTTATAATCTTGCATTATTGCTGGATTTCCTGCTAAAATATATGGTTTAAAATAACTACTCGTCTTTCTCTTATCCTCCCCATATATTATTTACCTGCAAGAATTTTCTTCCCATTTCTTTCGCTTCCGTTCGCGTCTTTTAGTTCTGAAAATTATATTCATGAACCCACTTGAAAGAGTTAAGTATAATGACGTAAACATTGTTTTATCATCAAAGACAGATAATATTTATTTCTACTGAAGATTTTTACTATCAGTCTTAAGGCAAAATTTCATAATTTCAAAGAGATTTAAAATAAAAAAATATGTATACTCGTACATGAGATCGCTCCCATTAAATTATAAAAAAAGTTTTAGTATAATTTGACACATTTGTTTATTGTTGGTAGACCGTTGGTTGGAGTAATAAAAAATTTAAGTCGTAATGTTACTAACCTTGGGTGCAAAACTGCACTAAATCAATCCCGTACTGATGGTAGACAATTTTATTTTTGCAACAATTCGCTGTTATATCTGTGCCGGAGTCAAAGTTTTTTACTTTTTGTTTTTACCCTCAAGGAAAGGTTACTGAACGCAGTGGGGCGAGAGATGGCCAGGGTCATATTAGTGTTTTCCCTCCTTTATGTAATTTACATATTAATAAGGGTTAAAGTCCTGCATTGTTATGACATGTTTACTACAACTAGTCACTGTGTCATATTGTTGCATAACAGATCCAATAACCATGTTGTCAGATGTTGGCCATATTTTCTTTATTAGTTTGTTCCATTGCAAATTATCAGTTACTCAAAAACACTACATTATACCGGGTGTTTCAAAATGACTCACCCGGTTTTAACGCTTTATAACTTTTATACTATTAAACTTACCGCTATAAAATACACATCAAATGAAAAAGCAACTCAAAGAGTTTATGCCTACCAAAGACACATTATTTAGTAAAATCGATCCAGCAGAACTGTAGATTTAATTGTACAAAGTTAAAAAGTAATCTCCAACTTTTTTTAACACTAGAAATTTGGAGGTTACTTGACGTTTTTGCAAATAACTTTTAAATAGTGAGGAAATCGACCAAAGTGGAAGGTAATATTCCGAAAGAGAATAAAATTTCCTACAATCTACAATTATGCATTTCTTTAAAATACTTAATAAATGTAGCCTAAATTTGCCTTAAAATAAAAAAGTGTGAAATTTAATGTTTGCTATGTCTATTGTCCACATTGAAGACAGGAATTTTCAATTTTTTTTCATTTTTAAGCAATTTTTGGTACCTTTCTTGAGTATTTTCAAAAAATGCATAATAGTAGATTGTAGGAAATTTTATTCTCTTTCGGAATATTACCTTCCACTTTGGTCGATTTCCTCACCATTTAAAAGTTATTTGCAAAAACGTCAAGTAACCTCCAAATTTCTAGTGTTAAAAAAAGTTGGAGATTACTTTTTAACTTTGTACAATTAAATCTACAGTTCTGCTGGATCGATTTTATTAAATAATGTGTCTTCGGTAGGCATAAACTCTTTGAGTTGCTTTTTCGTTTGATGCGTATTTTATAGCGGTAAGTTTAATAGTATAAAAGTTATAAAGCGTTGAAACCGGGTGAGTCATTTTGAAACACCCCGTATTATTGTAAATATTAAAATCTTCAATATAAGGTTTATTACAAAATGTCAAAAAATTATCTATTCCTCAAATTATATTTAATTTTTACAAAGTTTTAAAAAAATATACCAGAATAGCTGGCATATTACACCTGGGTACCGATAAGCATGCTAACTTATTGATAGTCTATACAATTAAATTGAAGTTGTGTTATATAATGAAACAGCTGATTCGCTAGGCCCCTAAAAGTGATTGCTTTGATACTAAGGTTGTCTCGTACTAGTGAGATAAAACTATAGTTTAGAAAATTATAGCTTTTGGAAGAGTACATTTATAATGTATTGATAGGATTAGTGTCATAAGAAAATACCTATCAAGACCGCATTAAATGTATACTTTCTACTCGTTCGTAGCAAATTAAAGTCATCCACCAAGTTATTTATTACTGTATACTAATCAATAGGTGTTTTGGATTCTAGGCTATGTTTTCTAAAAAGGGACTAGGTTTACAAAATTAAAATGTTGGACTATCAAACGAACTGTTCATCGTTTAACAAAACTGTCTTTGTAACACTTTTTTATAACGTGTAGTTCTCTTTGCTTTATGAAAAACTAGTTTTGGTTGATTATAAAGTATTTATAATCAAGTATTATTTACACAAAACTTTCAATTTTTTTTTAATACTTTTTCGTCATACTGCAGAAAAAACAGCCGTTTTAATTCATGCGTTGCGAGTCTAAAAAAGCTCTTTTATTCCATAGGGTGTAAATCGTTTTTTGTGGAATTAGTGTGCGAAGTGAGACTTTGCACTCGCGCTGCACATTATATTTTTCCAACAGTTACAATAAATTATATAAATAATTAGTCTTTCAAACACCACACGACACTTTATTAGGTTAGCTTAAATCCAAGCGTTGAACGAAATGGGAAACGCTGCACAAGCTGATCGTAGTCGTAGTATCTTAGAGTGTTGTCAACTTATTTTCAAGCGTACACGTATTTCGTGTCTAATAAAAGCACTCGGATTTGTGTTGTTTGGTTGGAATACTGGAGAGCGGAAAAAATGAGTGCGGCAAAAGGTTAGAGTTCGACAAAAGTGAGTAAATACAGCAATTAGCTACTTGGCGTACTATAATCGTTATAAACGTTTAAAAACGTAATAAAAAAAACATTTTTACTTTTAAATTATTTTCAACCCTAGCTCATTTTCGAACTTGTGTTCGTGCCAAAAAGAGTCACTTAACGCTAGTGATGAAATATACTATTAGGTGTCAAAGACTTATCCACATTCTGATTGTTATTAATTGACAAAACAATGACGAAACACTTCAAATGTTTAAACATATGTTGCATACCAATTCCTCACCAAATGTAAACAATATAGAATTTTTTTAACTGTTTATTAAAACGTGTATATAAATTTGTAGTCTTACCTGTATTGAAAATACACGCTAACTTATAACAAAATTAATAATTGGAATCTGTTATCCATATAACACAAAATCATTTATGTTTTAAGCATTTGTAAAATGGTTTTCAAGGAGTGTAGTAATTAAAACACTATGACGTGTTGAAGTCACTGACTCTTCTTAGAATGTTAAATAGATTCCAACAGAGTCATTCCTTCTTGGAAGGCATCGCTGTGTAGTTGGTAAACAAAGCTACCACTGCTAATTACTCACTACGACGAAACAATCTTAGTGGATTTGCGAGATGTTTTAAGAATATAATAAACAATATTTAAAATGCTTATTAAAAGGCATAAAATGAATTAAATAAATTTAAGAAATCTTAGTTAAATTGATTAAGTAAAACACTCACTATTTGGACTTTACAACAAATAAGTATCGTTAAAGTATGTTCATTGGTAATGATCATACTATAAAATGACTATAAAAATACTATAAAACGTATATTATTAAATATTTTAGATATAAAACATTTTAAAGTCAGAAAATCGTATCCTATAGGATATGATTTCCGATTAGTCACTCAAATAAAAGAAAATTGCACATGTGGAGGTATTTCCATTATTAGAAATGATTTACTCAATTTTTGTTGTAACGCAATAAATATTGTGATTGATTTTTGTATAATGCTATGTATGTTTCCTTACTATACATCCATACGATCCATACTATACGATTTCTTCTTAGTTACACTAGTATAATAATGGAAAAAAATCCTTGCTCCTCTCCTTTCTAAGGGTTGGAAATATAGTGTAAAAAGATGCAAAACAGATGTTTTATTCAGTCGCAATTAAACTCACCATAGCAAAATATGTACCGTACAGTTTTATATTTGTTTGAGCATGGATGAAAAACAAACAAAAAAATAATCTAAAAGTTAACAGGATATTAAGTGATTTACCTGGGTTTCCGGCACTTGTCTGGTTGAGAACCTTTTCAGAAAGGAATCCTCTCGTTTTAGGGGAGGTTTTGATTTTTGGATTGTCGAGGATATCGCCCCAGAGAGCTGCACGGTCGTCCTCAATTTCATCCATCTTTGGTTGCTTTTGCTCCTGCAAAAAACATTTTGTAAAAGAAATTGCAAAAAATCTTTTCATAAATACACGTAACGTTTACAAAAAGTACCATGACAGTTAAACAATTATTTATGCTAAATATTATGAACTTATTATAATAATTTTGAATTCATAAATGTATTCAAGTTTTGTTTTATTATGGTATGATACAAATATTTTTTTCAGGTTTGGAGATCTACACAACTTAGAATGTCTTTGAAATAGAAAATTTAAACCCGGGTTGAAACTTTTCTTAACGGCAATGAATAACCGTAAACCTATCACATTTTTCAAATGGTAATTTTTGTGTGCCGATCCTTGCTATTGTGAGATGGAGGTTGCTAATTTTCCTCGGTTTTCTTGCTAAAGACCCTGTTAGTATGGGGCTATTTAATCACGAGTTCCATCTAAATTGTTCAAGTTCATAAGGCTTGAAATGTTTGATATAATGATTTTAAATTTGTACTGAGTTTTGTAGATACTAGTTTAGTTTACAAAATTTTGAAAAGGCATGAGATTGTAGCTCTTAAACATTCAACAATTATGTATTGTACATGCTGGGAGAGGCAAAAAATGAAATATTATGATTGAAAATAAAACCATTGTGTAGGCTATTTACTTTCTCTCTAACAATTTACTGCTGATTTACTATAATAAATAATTGTTAACGTGTTTTCGAACGCAGACTAAACGTTTCTGTTCGTTGTTTGGAATTGCTCACCACCTAAAACTTGCTTAGGATATTCGGGATCTAAAACGTCAAATTAGGGTTAAAACTGGATTTTTCGTAGAGATGCAGCATTAAAATCAACTCACTCTTTATTTTGACCAAAAAGGTACAGTGCTAGATGAAGGTTTTAGCTGTTGATCAACTCATTATATGTAATGGATATCAGGAGTTTACAAATTGAAATATGTATTAACACCAAACAATATCTAAGTGTTTACGATGAAAAGTCTCTAAAGGCCATTAATCGATTTACTGTGTGAAGTTATGACAAATGTTGTGTTTCGTTGTGTAATATAAACACCAAACTCATAAAAATCCAGTTGAAAACCATGGTATTGACAAATTGGAGTAGGTACCAATGATATGCCAATATTTATTAAAGATTTATTTTGATATATGTGCACAGTGGGTTACTTGACTGATACTGAAAATTTGTTTGATGGCTGTCTTTCGCAGCAGCCAAAGCTCTACATTAATGCGACATGTCAACTCATATATTATAATATGTTTGTTTATCGACTTTATGAGTACATTTACATAATCTCATAGAAAATGATCCTTTAGCGTAAGATTATTTTCCGCTGAGTGTTGTTCTAGGGTTGTTTAAAAAAATGATGTGGTAATAGAATGTAAAAAAAAATTAACACTACATAGCTCTCACTATTTCTAAAAATTTATTCCCAGTTAATGCCATTTAACCACAAAAATCATACGACTCAGTAGTTAAGGTTCGGGTTGTATCTATATGTGGTCATTGTATTTTATACATTGGGGAAATTCATAATGAAAGAACCCATACGGAAACCATGTAAGACTCAAGATCCGATAAACCTTCAAAGGGGTAGGGAAAACCAGGCTGGAACCCAGATGACTTTAAGCCTGAACCATTCGCCTTG